GGCAGAGCTCTCAGCAAGACCCACACCACCCGGACAGTGTGAGGACAGGAAACCACAGCTCGAGGACAGCAGCAAGGACAGTGGTGGGAAGACACAGAGAGCCCATGACGTGTGCCCAGGGCCAGCGTGCTGGGGGCTGGCACTTACCACCAGCACATTCCCTACAACACCAGGCCCTGAGTGCAGCTTCTCGGGGTGCTGAGCCCGCAGTGCCTGCAGATACATGCACATGCCCGTAAGGAAGTCCTTTGGCTGCCCAATGTCCATCCAGAAGCCTGTGGGAACAGGGCCATGGTGACAGCCATCAGCACAGGGGTGGCAGTGCAGGCAAGACCTCCCCATGCTGCCTGCAGTGTGTGCAGCACCTTACCCTGCAGCTCCATGGCCTTTCCTGCGCCATGGCAGGGAAGATCTCCTTCTCAATGGAGGTGGGGCGCAGCTGCGAGTATGGGGCACAGGGCTGAGCCAGGGGCCTGGACCCCCTGCCCGGCCCAGCCCAGCATCCCAGCCCCTACCTGGATGCGCTGCAGGATGCCAGGGCTGAAGATATAGAGCCCAGCATTGATCTTGTTGGACACAAAGACACGCGGCTTCTCCACAAAGTTGGGCTCCCTCCCCACCCCCCCGTACTTGGCCGGCTCCTCCACCCGGGTCACCACCAGTGAGCCCTCGCCCCCGTGCTGCCGGTGGAACTGGGCCAGCGCCACGAAGGGGAACTCGCAGATCACGTCACTGTTGAGGACAAAGAAGGGCTCCCCACCCTCGGCCAGCAGGTCCCGCGCCAGCGCCAGTGGCCCCGCTGCCCGGCCATCAGTCGCACCATGGGAACAGGGTGAGCCCAGTGCCTAGCCCCACCTGTGCCCATCCCAGCTCCCCAGTCCCCAGTGCCACAAGATCCTCACTCAGTCTCACTGTCCCCGGTCCTTCCTGTGCCTGTGCTGACATCCCTGGTCCCCCTCACCTGCCCGTGCCAATCCTGGTGTACCCCTCACCATGTCCCAGGTCCTCCCAGCACTACCCTCCCTGCTGCCCTGCTC